ACGTTATTAATTAATATTGTAACGTTTTCAATGTAAGGTCGTTGAACCTGAGTACTATACCAACTATCTATTTATCTCGCCTAAAGAATAGGAAAAGATTCAAAACTTGCCCCTAGCTAATGGATGGAACAATTAATTGTTCTATTAATTATTCAAACAATATACTAATATTACCATCTTTCGGGAAATGTATGGCTAATATGATTCCTGCGCACCATTGTTGGATGTCCTTCAAGACAAACAGATACAATTTATAATTTTCATGCTTTTCAAAGTTAAAGCAAAAGGATACAATCAGTCCTCCAATCTCATGTCTTCTTTAAATGATAAGAATTTGATTTTGTCAACCTTTACAAGTCTACATTTTATTACAACAGAGAACCTGCGTAATCACAAAAACCCTTTTTGAAAGGAGACTTGCTTCCACCAAGAAGTTTTTGTTTCATTTCCATAGATACAAATCTTTAGTCTAAGCAATTAGTAAGCATCCAGTTTGCAGTATCAAATCTTTAGCTAGTATTTGGACATAGATTTGATTGAAATTTGAAAAATAATTTTTGAAGTTGTATTGAAATTTATTTTTTAAAATTGAAGTTGTGTTTGGACACGTATTTTATTTGAAGAAAAGTTAAAGTTTTGTGAGTGAAAGAAAAAATTTCACCCAAAAACTGCTCTAAACCAGCTCTTGGGAACTTGAAAATTTTTGAATTCTTTTTCTCAAAACATGATCATATTTCATAAACAAACAATATTTTTTTATTTTTTCTGAAAAAATAAAGCAAGAATATATGGCTAAATGGGAGCTTAGTCTAAGGAACCAGTTTGTTATAGTTTTACAATAAACTAGACTAAATGTAAGAGGATAACAACTTTCTTATTTATTTTTCCATATTGAAGAACCATTAGGGGAGCCGGCACTCACTGAGACGCCTAGGTAGGCAATCTTTTCCCTTTTCTTTCTCCCCTCTTCACTCTCTGCCTACCCTCCTCTTGTCTCTCCCCTCTTTCTTCTTTCTCCTTCCCCGTTTCTTCTCTCCCCCTCCTCTCTCTAAACCCTAGCAGGAGTATCCATCGCTGGCGACCGTCATGACCGGCGTCCCCCTTTTCCCTCCTCACCTGTTGTGCCACCCTACCCGTTTCCCCCCCTCCCCCTTCCCAACTCTTTTTCCTTTATTATTATTATAACTATTATTATTATTCTCCTGGTCTGTTGGCTCTCTGCCGCTGCACTCCCCGGCAACGTTTGGCGGTTTCCGGCGGGCATCAAATTGCTAGGTAACTTGTGGCAGCGGCAACAACCCCCCTCCCCAAACCTTGGTTTCGTGGTTGTTTTGTATTTTTTTCAGGACTTTGGCAGTGGTTTTTGGGAACAAGCGGGAGACCTACGTACTAGCAGAGCAGAGCATCCCTTGTTGGAGATAGCAAGGGACTTTGGAAGTGAGCGCATCAGATCCACATTATTGGGTGTACGCCGGGAATACATTCGAGGTTCTACTTTCAGGAGTTGGTACCTCCTGCCTTTTTGCCCTTTTTTCATGTGATTTATTAAATTTACTGCCATATTAGTTCGCTTTCGGTCTAGACATACTACTAGCGAGCCTGTACCTGTAGC